CATCTCTACACCAGGAATTTATGTCTTCACTGTATTGAATGGCCTACAAGGTCAGTATTTACAAATGAGTTGTTTGATCATTTTCAGTGTGTTTGACAGTATTTTCTCTTCCTTAGGTTTTCTTATATTCCTGTGGTGTCTTGCTTTGAGATCTAAGTCTAAATCTGAGACTAATTCTTCAGTCAGAGACCAATCATCATCACAAAAAATGATTGACACCAGTCTATGACAGCTAGTTGAAGAAATTTTACATGGACTTATTTACTGAACTTTGTAACTGAGACAATCCTAAATCCTTGTTTGCTGCTATTCGTAATTATAGGGGGATACCTAAAATAAGTCTGTTCAAAAGAGAATTATTTTTCCTCTTTTTCAACTGAAATAATTTCTTCTGTCAGACTAGTGTTTGTTTGTTGGGGTCGTACCTTGACATGTTTGTCTGCAGTCATCCTCAGAAGAGTCATAAGATGTTCTTGTTATGCAGGGTGATCCTTCCCCCAGAGTCCTCTTTGTAGTACTCTCCCATAGTGGCCTGCTCTGAGGCAGATGGGTCCTGCTAACGTCATGTGCATGGGAGCGCATTATGAACAAACTTGGGAGTGAGTGAGAAAAGAGCAAAGTAAATAGGCCTGTTACTTATCATGGTCAAAATCAGGCATATAAGAATTAATGTCAATGCATCTATTTATTAGTAAAATTAATTAATCATCATGTTTTTTGTTTGTTTGTTTTTTTAAGCCTACTTACCTATTTGTCTATTTGCATATCACCAGTATGCCACATATTTTCTTAAATCCCAAAAATCTAAATCTGACTTGGGCAAATTTGACAGTGCTGTCTGTGGAAAGAAAAAAAAAAACATTTGTTCAGTCTTCCATGTGGGCATTCAAGGCCACTTTTTTTTGGCATTTTTAAAAACATCAGTAACATGTCTTTTAACAATGTATATAAACCCCCATGTCAATTTTGCCCTGAAGTCACATGTTTCCTTGAATGAAACTATTCAGTTTAATATTTAACAATTTTGTGAGTTTTATAAGTTCAAGTCTTACTTTATGAGCCAAGTTTGTTGGTAAAATGAGCAGTGACTGAATCTGATGCTTAATTAAACCAAATAATGTGGTTGTACAGTGACTCAGTCCTGACTCAATCTAATTCAGTTCCACTTATTTTATAATGAGTAGGAGTCTTCTCTGTAGCATCACTAAAGTTATAACTGCAAATCAACTGTGCACAGGTTCAGGGGAACATGCAGCTGACCAGGTGTGTGTCCAGTCCCACTTATTGGACATTATTAGCACTGAACATAACTGGAGACAGTGTAAAGAGTCAGTGAAATTCAGTTTGGCTGACATGTAATACTATATGCTCACTGCACAGTTGTTTACCAAAGAGGGATCCGGAAGGTTTTGACGATAAAACGAAACTTTTTAAGTGCACGTCACAATATTTTCCTTGAGCCGTTTCCCTGAAAAATATTGGTACAATTTATATCAGCGGCATTTTCCAGGAGTTTAGAAAAATTGAGTAGGGTTTGGAAAGTGATAAATTGTTTATTTTGTTACGTCTCTTAATAGCTTTTGCAGAGAGTTTAGTGTTGTGACAAGTCACATTTCTTTAATATAGACATATAGGAAGTCTGTGGCTTTCGTTTAGTTTTGCCCTAATATTTGTCCCATGACACACACACACACACACACACACACACACACACACAAAACAAAACAAAACAAAAAACTCCAAGCAAGTTAACAATTGAGTTGTCTTTATTGTTAATAACTTGTGATCACAATAATATCTAAACATGCTGGTCTATTTCAAGTGTTAATTTCTGTTTCACTTTTGTGAGATGCTCTGATGATGAGCAATTTCCTTAGGTAAAAAGTCTCACCTACATTTATTTCAAAATAGAAAATGTTATCAGCCTTATCTTACGCCATGAGGTACGTCACTGCAAACATTTTACATTGTTATCTCGGTCTAAAAAAAAAGATTGCTCTGCTAAATGATTCATCACCAGACTAATGAAAGCAGATTTATGACAACAATTTGAATTTGGATGGATTTGCACCGTAAATCGCTATAATTGCCCACTTTACCTGACTTAAGTATCCTTTTGGTAAGGACATGACTTTTTAAAAATTATTTTATTCATGCATTGTGCAGATAAATTGGATTTACATAATCTACTTCCATTTTTATATTTTCGCCCTCTGCTCACAAAAGTTTTTTAAGGCTGGTGCATAAAAAATAAGTATAGTGTCAAGTTATCTTACATAAATGCATTTGAAATGTACAGAGAAATGCGCACATGAGGCGGAGTGGGCGCTCTCGCTTCACTCTGTTCTCCGCACGCAGCAGACAGACACAGAGCCAGACTCAGACAGAGCCCATCATGGACACAAACACAACCATCCTACGAGTGAAAAGAAAACGGGGAACCGACCCGGCAGATGCACTGCTGCTGGCTTGTAAGCGCATCCGTCCAGAGGTTTCTCAGAGCGCCAGTGAAACGGTACCAGAACCTCGGGAAGAGGAGGTGGAAAACTCCGTCTTCAAACTCGTGGCGACTGTAGCGACCCAGGTAAGAGGCCCGCACTTAGCCGAGATGTTGGTGCTAGCTAAATGTCAACAAATGACATCCGATAAAGCCAACCATGCGTTTGGTAAAATTTCTGCGAATACACACCACATTTACCATTCTATTTATGCAACTTGTCCCGCACACGAATAACTGAAACACGGCGGCTAACCGCTGCTGCTGCTAACTGTTGTTAGCATTGTAGCTGCGATGGCGATAATAGCGCGAGCTACTGTGTCATGATCTACCTCCTCCTGTTTAGCTGCTTGTTTGAGCGGAACTCTGGTACGTTTGAAGGCCATTTCAAACTATCATCTGTTTCAGTCTAATGCATTCAACCATAATATATTTGAGACGTTCTATGCTGAAGTTAAAATGTATTATTACATATTTTTCGAGTGAAACTAAATTTTATGTCGACAGGATGCTCCAGTCCAGACTCAGGTGCGACAGGCCTTGGCCCGGCCCCGCATGGCGCACGCTTTTCGTCCCTCCGCTGCGAGTTCACAGCGCATCATCGGGGATCTCCGCAGCTCCAAGTGGAGCACCAGGCGTGAGGAACGCTACAAGCTCATCTCCAGCCACCGCACCGCAGTGTCTACCCCAGCTGAGCAGCACAACCCTCCCACAGATACTGCACACAGTGTGGTAGACGACACTAAAGAACAGGGCAAAAGTTGGGCTGTTGGAGCGATTCAGGTGGTCGATTTGCTACATGAAGATGCACAGGAACAGGATAAGTGTGGAAAGGTGTGCGCTTTATAGAGCATGGGATCAAACGTCAATAAGTTTCAGGTTGTGGTTAGCCATGCCAAAAGTCCATATAGATGCATTTTCAAAACTAGAAAAGCACTCAGAGAGCCCAGACCTCCGCCAAGGACTACAGTCCCCCTCATATTAATTGTGTTTTCCATAAATATTTGTCTCGTATCTTTCAATTTGGAATATGAAAGAGGATCCGATTGTCCATCCCTGAGTCAAATTTCATGGGGTTTGGTCAATAATTAACCGAGATATTGAGAAACAAAATTTTTGGCCCCATTTACCACAATGTTAACTAAAATTTCAAAGTGATCCAGAATCCAGGATTTCTTCCGGATCACCCCCAAAAAATGAAATCAGTTCTTCCTTTTCACATTTCCAACAAATCCTGAAAATTTCATCAAAATTGGCCCATAACGTTTTGAGTTATGTTGCTAACAAACAAACAAACAGACAAACGCCGGCAAAAACATAACCTCCTTGGCGGAGGTAACTATGTAAAAAGGTACACAAAAGAGCAGTGGAACCGTCAAAGCTGCAGGGTCACTAGTCCTGGAAAATGTCAGTGTCAGTATTTAAATGAACAAGGTTCACCTAAGTTGACCTCTACTGGTTTAACATTAGGTTAAATGGAAATTCTCTGTTTTGTGACACAATCCTGAGCTTTATTTTCTTAAATAAATCCTTTGTTTGGTTGGATCCTCATTCAGAGGAAAAATCTGAAAGTAGTGTATTGATTTCTACTGCATTTGTGTTTGTTTCCCAGACACTGACAGATCCTGAGGTGATCCTATGTAACAACACTAAGATGCTTCGTGAGCGGTTGTGCATTTCTGGAGAAGGCCTTGGTGGAGAACATCGGGAGCATGAAGATGACTATGTCTACGATCTGTACTATCAGGAAACTGCCACACCTGGATGGATCCAGGACATCCTGTCTGTCAGGGCCTATGCTGACGAGGGAGAACTGGTGTGTGTGGATGGATGGACACGCAGATGAATGAGATGAATGAGGCTCGTGTCGGAGTGAGTGACTGATTTAAATGGCGTTGCTGTAGAACAGCTTTTTATCATAGACATATTAGACCCATATTCAGGATACTTTGATTAACTGAGCCTGAATTTAATTTGTTTATTACTTTAGTAATAATTAGAATTGTTTTTGTTATCACACTTTATCATTGCACAAGTCATAAGAAAGGTTCTAGACATGAGAATGGAAAGGTTTATCTTCTGTAATACTAGTGTAAAAATTTACTCATAAATCCAATTTTCCAGGTACCTGACCTTGTAGTTCATGAAGAAGAAGTGTATGAGGATGAGGATGATGAGAATGAAGAAGGCAACTGGAGGAATGACTATCCTGATGAAGACAGTGATGGGGATAGTGACCGGGAGGAGCGCTATGGAGGTGAGCATTTTTCCGCTTTGGGGCTTTTCATTCACAAGACCAGGGGTTTTGTTTATAAATTAGCCTGTCAAAATCAAGGTTTCAAACCGTCTTGCCTCACACCCTCCTCACTGCTCTCACTTCTGAGTTTGTGCTGTTTATTGTGGGTCTAGTTCTCGTGTGAAAGTGTTCAATGTTTCATGTCCAGTTTCATTTCTATAAATGAATACATTTTACATTTTGACAAAATACGTTAAAACTCTCTCCATATGACACATTATTACTGTGTTTACGAAGAATCGAAGAAGAATCATTGTTACAAAACTAAAATGAATAATTGACCATCTTTCAGGTTACTGGGAGGAGGAGCACTCGTACAGCCGAAGGAGCTGGGAGCAGTACGAAAAGGAAGTGCTGCACGAACTCGGCCATCGTGGTGATGAAGATGACGAAGATGATGAAGACAATTATGGCTCAGATTAAAGAAATTACTTTTTTTTTTTTTTTTTCCAAGATAACGCCAACCTTAAAAACTTCTATATGAGAGGGAGGACCAGTAACCAGGACGATATCATTATATTAAAAAAAAAAAAAAAAAATCTGCATTCCATTAGTCTCATTTGGCTTCTTATATTTGCTAGTATTGACTTGATGTAGTCACTCAAAGCATGTTTATTTGGCTCCTTCCTCTGTAATGTATAGATGTTGAGGTAGGTGCCTGAATCCTTTTATATTGTTGAGTGAATTTTGGTATGGGTGTTTGAAGTATGCGTTACAAAAATGTTGCACAGTTGTGTGATGTGTTTCGTATGCTTTGTGATGTTCAAACTTGAGTTACCAAGATGTATTGGCCTGCGTGTGGTTGCAAATTAGCCTGTTTGCATTGTTCGTGCATGGTAGAGTGTTAACGTGTTATGTGTGCTAGATAATGTATAATGTGTGTTCTCTTTAAGGTATGGACTGTTTCTTTGAACGCTTGTTGAATTAACTGTTTTTGTATATATGTACATGTGTATAAAAAGCTTTCAAAATAAAACTTCTTTGGTTTTATTGCATACGAGTACTGCTGCCTGGAGTGTTTTATTTTGAACGCACAATTACATCTGGAAAAATGGTCAAATATAGGGGCTAGCATTGCCTAGCATTTCTAGTCCTAAATTAGAAAATGTTTTGGAATGGTAGTTTGCATTTGAAATATTTGTAAAGAGAAATAATTCAAATTGTCTATTTTTATTGCATGATTCCATAAAGTACGAGGAAGACATTTTCAATACTAAAATGGTACAATAGCTCTTATTTATGTAATGTAAGAGTAAACTACTCAGTGAAATATAAAGCATCAAACCAGTGATTCTTGTGTCTTCCAATAAATATTTACTTTGTTCCAGATGAGAAAGCAATTTCTCATCAAACGTAATCATATTCTCACTTAAGTCTAATAGAAAACAATGTTGTGATTTTTAAATTAAATGTAAAAACCCAAATCATCTAATTTCTTTCATCATGGTCCATTTGATTACTTACACCAGATTTTGCTATTTACATGTCATTTATGTAATATTAAAGGCCCAAAAATGAGATTATTATCCGATTTTGCTGTCCATGTGAACAAGGCCAGTGATGAACAACATTCTACCATTTTTAAATTAAATCAAATCCATCAAGCTAATGACTAGAACAATTCCCAAATACATAATTTTCCACACAAACAAATTAAAATAGTCTATTACAAATAATCAGAAACATAAATACATAAAGTGATTTGATTGGGTGCTAATTAGTGTGAACCAAGTATAGAAAAAAATATCCAGTTGTCAAATTCCCCAAGAGCGGTTTGAATTCCAGTGTAAATGCAGAAGTGATCAACACCTGTGGCACCGCTGTAAACAAGTGAACTCGAAATGCTTCAGCTTAAAGATCATTAAAATAAATTAAAAGTTTTTTTTTTTTTCTTCATTCACGTGGTCAGGCAGTGGGTGGGAAGTGCTAGTCGCTCTTGTCCATCTCTGTCAGTACGCAGTAACACGTATATTGAGTAAAGTGGGTCAGTGAACCTGGAAGATGAAAGAGAAAGTAACGCATTAGATCCGAGCATAGGTAGGGTAAGTTTAGAAAAGTGCATCAAAATATAGGCCACATTTACATTGGCAAACGGGGGTCAGACTAATAGGATTTTGGTTTTAGATTTCTCCCACACTCTTTGCAGTTTGCCAATCTTTTTTCATTTTTTTCAAAAGGTATAAACAACAGCTAAAATAATATGTAATAAGACATTTCACAATGTAATGCAGCACACACCTCTGGAACATGTAGCCACTTGATCAGATAGTACTGCCACCCTATGGAGCTACATATTGTTGATCTTATTTAGCAAATAAATACTTTCTAATAAAATTAAATGTTAAAATTTTATTGAATGACAGTATTTCATTATTGAACTAAGTCAGAGTCACTTTACAAAATGGCATTACATTTCATTGATACCAAAGTATTTTTTATTTTATTTTTTTCATAATGTGTTTTTTGTATTACAACATGTGATTACACACCATAAACACTAGATGGTGCAGCTCATACACCTTGACCCAGAGACAGAAGATGAATACTTTTTATTGAGTTGATATAATATCTGTTTAAAACTCTATATCGTTTCACATTAGAATGATTAACCACCTTCCACCCAGCCTGTTTAAAAAAATTTTTTTGCTGTCAAAAAAACCAGCCGGTTATGTAAAAATCATACAGCCAGAATGGTAGTGGCAGTGCTTCGGGATATGGTCAATTGGTGGTTTTCAGGTTATAGAATGTAATGATGTCATTCCCAGATGGGGAGAAAGAGCCAGATATTGCTGTTAATAACACTGTAAATTTACCTTTCAAATGTTTCATCAGAAATAACAACTTGCCCGATCGTGTGTAATAGTGACTAGACCCAAGAACTCACTGTAATACCACACAAGTCTGAATTTTAACATTATTCATTTTAGCTGCCCCCATCTCTGTTACTTAGTATTGGCTTATAGAATGTTGTGATATCATCTTCAAACCCGAAATAAGCTTAGAAAAACACATCACACCTTAGGTACACTTGTGTATGTATGTGCTTGTGTGTGTGTGCAGTACTCACGCAACAGCTTGGTGATGACAGGGGGCCTCTTGGACTCGGGCAGATAGACTCCGAGGAAGTAGACGGGCACTCCTGACAGAGCGATGGCAATGCCAATCAAAGAGTTCAGAGTGTCACTGTACAGAGGCACTGCCACCAGGAACACAGTGCACAGGCAGAACACCACCGGGTATAACAGGGTCAGCTGTGAAGGGGGAAACAACATCATCATATCATCAATCATACAATAGTGATGTATTTTCATATGATTATTGACACCTGCTTATCTATGGAGACGTTATTGCTATGTCTGGAATATTCCACAGTATGGTACTAAACCTTTTATCTTTATTTAGACAATAGTGATAGAAAACAGACTGAGTTACAGGTCATATCTGTGGAGTGGTGAGCTTGCTTTTATGTAAGAATGCATGTTTTTTTTTTTACATCTGTAATTGCGTAACTGCCTGGAATATACCACAATATGGTTTTAAACTTATTTTTCAAAGGTAATAACATGTCTTGCTACCAGAAAAGTTACACAATTAATCTTGACACCTGTATGAATCAATAGAGAAATAACAGGTTAATTATTTAGCAATATTCAGTCATCTTTTGTGCCAGTACATTTGAGCAGGTTATGTGTGGGAGAACAACCACCTATACTATTTATTTATTTTATTAATTTAAATGTATTTATTAATTTAATTTATTTATTTATTCATTCATTCATATTATGCATTATTAAGAAATAATAGTACCGTATTTTCCGGACTATAAAGGTGCACATTTCGGGGAAATGTATTTTATAAAATCAGAGACCAGGAACCAACATTTCATCTTGAAAGGCAAGTTATAGTAATAACAGAATAGAGAACAACAGGCTAAATACGCGTTAATATGTTAATGTAACATATTAACAGTTATTCAGATAATTACAGCATAAACAACAGAACATAAATTTATCAAACTCATGATCTCACTCCAAATCACTAAATCCATTAAATTCTTCATCCTCGGTGTCACTTCTGCACAACCTCCGGAGATAAACCACAGATCCATGATGTAAACGGAGCACCGCTTCTTCTTCTGTGTAGCAGTTGTCAGACTCAGCACCAGTTCCAGTTAGAATTATTCCAGCCTTTCTGAATCCGGGCAGCATGGTTACGGTTGTCACTGAAGTTCAGGTTTTATTGATTCATCCAATGACTTCCAGGAAAGTTGCATGGCGCACCTGCCCGGTTACCGTGAAGCTGTGTTCTCCATCCCTGCTTTCTGCCAGTCTCTCACAAGTTTCTCATTTACTCCAAACTTTCTTTCTGCTCCTCGATTACCGTTTTTGGCTGCATATTTCACTATTTGCAGCAGGACAGCGGCTTTGTCACTTTGCACTCTACTGAGCATGTCTCCTGTAGAAAGTGGTACAGGAGTAATAGTAGTACTAGATGCTGACACACAACCCTTAGAGCGCCCTCTCGCGGCTGTCAGTCTGAAAATTTTAATATATCATTTGCACCGGAGTATAAGTCGCAAGACCACCCAAACCATGAAGAAAGTGCGACTTATAGTCAGAAAAATACGGTAATCATAATCGAACTGGGATTAATTGCATATCACTAAATGAGAGTAGATTGAGACAGGCAGATAAAGTGAGAAAACCTTGAGCGGCCTGGGTCGGTCGGGCTCCTTCCAGCGGAGGTAGATCTGTCCAGCGATAGACAGGCCCATGAAGAACCAGTAACTGAAACTGTAGTAGTTTATGAGCTGGAACACGTCCTCCACAGTGAGGTAGATCAGAGACATGATGCACTAAGGAACAGTCAAAACATGGACTTTATAAAACAATTGTATTTTGTAAGCACTGAAAAGATCTAAACAATATGGATTTGGAATGGCTGACCCAGCTTTATCTTTTGATTGCCATCTTAAAATCTTTAAAAACAGAACAAATTCGTTTTAAACAGTTTGCAATGGTCCAAAGTCAACCTTCACTTTTCTAGCATGTCTACCATCCCAATTATTCCCTGTGATGAATTTGTGATGAAGTGCTTTTCTTAAATTTTGGAGTCTAGAGCTGAGTTTTTCTGTCACGATAATGCTAACAACAGCCAGCACGCAAACAGAACACCAGCACTACTAAAAATTTGACCCCAAAAAGCTGTTTTTACAATATCTGTGCTCTGGGACAATATACGGTTTAAAGGGGCCTATATTAAACTATTTTCAGATCTATGTTATAATATTGTTTTCTCATAAAAAAATATACCTGGAGTTGTGTTTTGTTTTTTTCATACAACTCACAAACCCTGCATGTTCATATCTTCTCTAAAACGGTAAACATTCTGTTCCACCTTGTGATGTCTATGTGATCCCGTGTTTTTAAATCCATACAAGAATCATTTGGATGGGTTCAGCCCCAACTAAACAAAAGACAAAAGGTAACAGTTAACTTGAAAACTATCTCTACATGACATCACAAGGTGGAACAGAGCATTTTGAGCTTTTGAGATGTAGACAGACTAATAATAAAGGGTTACTCAATGAAAAAAAACAAAACAAAACATAACTCCAGGTATGGTTTTAGGGAGGTAATAACGCAATAACGCTGCTTAAAGAGCAAGAGCCAATTTGTAGGACTTTTAATTTATTACGTTAACAGTTATTGAAAGTTATAATTTGCCTAGTTGAGTGTGTGCTGTAACTTCTGACAAAACCAGAAGTCAAAAGTAAACTACACAAGTTAAAATACATTTGATACATACATTAAAGATGAGAGCAGGAATAGGAGTGAACCTCTGTATGTGAATCATGGACAACGCATCGGGGAGGTGCCCTTCACGAGAGCCCACGAAGAACAACCTGAACACAACACAAGGTCAGAAAGTGCCTAGGATTCATGGTATTCTTAAACACAGGGGTGGAAAGTAACTACAATACAAATACACAATTTACTGTAATTTAGTAGATTTTTTAGGGTAACTGTACTTTCTGGCTGACATAAATTAGCTACATTTAAAATCACAAAAAGTTATTAAATATAAAAAGTAGGCCTGTCATGATAATTACTACTGTATATCGACTTATCGTTGAATATATGAAAGATGGAGCAATAGTTTTTTGGTGGTCAATATTAATTGTAAGTACTTTGTTATTTTTCTGTACTATGATAAGATTTGAGCTGTAGGGGGTTGCTAGTTTTTTTGGGAGAATCCTGTTGTAGGGTTATTATGTCAGTAGCACAAATTTGTTTCAGTATTTTCTTTATTTTTTTCATCATTGTTATTGTGTCAGATCTAATAAAAGTGACTAAAATTGCGTGTGTGAAAAGTAAAAAAAAAAAGCACTTCCGAGTAGTATTTTCACCTGGACTTTATAAAACTTTGGTAGCAGTACTTGTACTTGCAATTGTTTTAGCCACATAAATGTACTTTTACTTAAGTACAAATTTTACGTTTTCTTTCCTTCACTGCTTAAAAAATTGTTCCTCTCAGACTGTGTACCTGGATGCAGCGATGATGGAAGCATTGAGACCCCCATAACAGGACAGCGCTACAGCTATGGGGATGATCCAGCTCATAACCCCCAGCGTATGGTCTGCAAATGTCTGAAATGCACAAAAGTAACATAGTCCACAACATCAACACTATCTGATTACACGTTGAAGTGGTGGGCGATATGGCAAAAATAATATCAACATTTTTTTGGTGCCAGATCACAATTTCAATTTTATCACAATTCATGTTCACTTTCCATTTTTCTTTTGCCTTTAAGAAGTAAATCAAGTCATCAGCTTTTTCTGAAGTGACTGTGATTGTGCGATCATCTAGTATAGTTATAATCTCACCTGTGGTTCATGATGTTATATTTTAAACATTTTATATCGCAACATTGAGCTAAAACGACTTATGAACAGAAACAAGTTGATATCCATGTTTTAAAATTCCAGATTCCTGCCTGCCATCACGCCATAAAAAATCCAGCTGTCTCTCAATCAGACTTACAGACTTACAATTATAGAAGTAGTTGGGAAATGTGTCTGAGTTTGAGCAGGTGGCTACATTAAATTGAGAAATACTGAACCTCTATTGACCAAAGCGAATTATGACAGGAATGAGATCAGGATTAAATTTCTTTCAGTATATCCTCCAGCCCTGATGTGTTGAAATCCTACTCACCACGGCCACTGCATCACTGGCGAGTATTGCACTGATGTCCAGGACTGCATAGTAAGCGATATTAGTGAGGATGTAGATGATGGTGACTATAGGCATAGAGATGGCTATGGCTAGAGGTAGGTTTCTGCAAAAAGATACAAGGAGATAACATTAAGCATTCAGTTAGTATCTCTTCACATTGCCATCCATTTTCCAGCTATAATCAGAATTACAGTTACAGAGTCATTTTTTGTGCAACACTGAACACATTCTTTAGTGATATAGAGTACACACTGAGTTAAAGGGAACTTCAATGGCCCCAGGAGGACGATTTGTTCCAGCCTGCTCTCTGTGGTTAAAAGGGCATTGGGAACAATTCTGAAACGTTTCATAGAAAGTACCACAAAGATATGGGTTCACATAGACCAAACCAGATATAACCCAAGACTATGTCAAATCTACAAGACTAAACCAGAAGTCTAAGAAATTGAACAAATTACTAGGCTCGTCTGTGTAATTGCCTAGTATTGTAAAAATACAATACAATAATACATATTGCCATAGTACACATTTCAAATAAATATATGAAATGTATAATATGCAGCTTTTCTGACGGTGGTCTGTTGTGTTGTTGTGTATGTTATTTCGTTGCCCGCAATGTTGCGCAAAATGGAAATTAACTTGTTCAGCTTGCATCTACTTCAAATACAAGTGTTTTTATTGCTCAAAAGTACATTGAGAAACAAGCATCCCGAAAAATCTAGATAATCCCAGTAAAGCATTTTTAAATAGACAGTATCATTAAGAGGCCAGAGCTGCAACAAATTATTAACATTCAATATATTAATTATCTTCTTCTGTCAGGCCAAAGCCAGCACATTCTCAGACTGAAGTAACGTACATAGAATCTAGGAATACAAATGCTATCTTTAAAGAAGAGATGTTCAAGTATTCCACTTTGATACCCCAGGCCATGTACAAGACTAAATCAAAATCCTCAAAAGTAACATGACACTGCAAATATACCATTGGTTAGCATGCATAGTCTGAAAGGAATCCAGGAATTCATAACATATGCCTATGCCTAAGTCTATCTCTTATCTCGAGTTTTAAAAATCCTGTTTTGGTGAAGTTTAAAATTGTACTTCCTTACTTTCTGATTGGACACAATCAGATATGGTGAAAAATGTCCTTCCTTGCATCTAAATTGTTCTTGCATTTTGGGTAATGTTATCTTTGTCATTGACATAGTTAGAGGTATTCCATTTTAAAACTTTTCACTACTTCCTATATTTTTGTGCTTTTCTTATAAACTTTTTTACTCACAAGCTGCCACTTAACTGATGTAAAGCCAAAATAAATAAAATATATACCATCTATACCATCCATCATTGCTATATACCAGAGATACCATGTCCCCAAACCAAGTAATAATTAGAAAAACATGAAAACTATATGCACTTGAAGTCACCTTTCTGGGTTTTTAATCTCTTCTGTGACAAAGTTGAGCGTGTCCCAGCCTGAGTAGGAGAAAAGTGCAGAGTAAAGTGCGAGTGCGATGTCTCCTGGGTCAGTGGACGAGCCCTCAAAGGACGACTCCAGATTTGCTGTGTAACCTGCAGCAGAGACGAGCCGACGTAAGCATTTTTAGAAGAACCAGTTTTGGGACATGTACTGTATGTTTATATGTCTTACCTTGGCACAGCTTAACGATTCCTGTTACAATGATGACTATAAGTGCGGCCACCTTGGCATAAGTGAAAATATCCTGGACTCTGGTTCCCCACTTCACGTAGGCTGAGTTGATAAATGTGAGTAAGCCTGAGGAGGGAGCAGAGGTAGTCTTTGGATTAGGAAGTGAACAAAAACCCAGGGCAGCTATAACATTATGACCAATTGTCTTGTGTTCACTATGTAACCAAGAACTTATTAGCATCACTATTACTGATCTGTTTTTCAAAACAGATAACTGCAAAAATACTTTCCTTCAGATATTATGAGCAGCAATATAAACTGACAATTCAAGATGATGGCCCTTCTAGATACAAAATATTCCATTATTTGAATTAGTCCTCAAAATGATGTCTATAACAAGTCGTCATGTGACTGAAACCCATAGAGTATTTTGAATCCACATGTTAAACTTGGTCATCACAAATACTTACATATACAAGCTGCTGCTATTAGCCGGGACGCTGTATAGGGAGGCTCACATGTGGGGAAGAGCGGCTGTACCAGGTAGTTAGCAAACGTTATGGCTATAACCGCTTGACTGGTGGGCTCGATGATCAACAACGAAGTCCACAGTCTAATAAATGCTATAAAACCACCAAATGACTCCAGTATGTACGCATAAGATGCCCCTGATTTGGTGATGGTGGTGCCAAGTTCTGCATAACACAGTGCTCCGAACACTGAGAAGATCCCCCCGATGGCCCATATGACCAGGGACAGTCCATAGGAGGCGCTGTAGATTAGGACACCCTTGGGAGATACGAAGATTCCCGATCCGATCATGTTTCCCACAATGAGGCTGACACCGTTGAGGAGGGAGATTTCCTTTTTCAGCTGCATGCTCTCCTTCGGGGGGGCCTCTTCGCAATGGACGTGGGCCATGCTGCCGTTGAGCGCTTTGGCCTCTTCGCAGCTGTCCATGGTGCTGGTCACGGGGCTAAGGCACGAGCAGACAATATGGCCCTCCCTGCCAAGTCAGGCCACTGCTGGGACTACCTGTGAGGAGATCAGGAATGAGTTAAAAGGGAAGCCTTACAAGTGAAGAAGATTTCTGAATTAGTGAGCTTAATTCTATATTTTAGATTTAGGTCATTAAAAGGGACTGTAATTAGCCTGCGCTCTAAAGGTTAAAAAGAAAAAAAATATATATATTAAAATCACAGCACTAGCACTGATAAATGAATTGAGTTTAGGTAGTGACAATTTAGATTATAGAGAGTGCTTTCAGGTTTAAACAAACTGGATTTGAACACAAACTGGTAAGCCAAATGAGAAATTTATGTGAGGCTGCTTCTTTTTTCTGATTGGATAATGATATTAAGAACCAAACAAATAAAGAGATAAACAACTTGGCAGACATATCCAGTGTTTTTGTAACTAAGAATATATCAGAATTGCAGATGTTATCAGCAAAGCTATATTTGATTTGAACATTTGTTGAACAATTTGTCTGATTAAAAAAAAAGCTGGGCAGTAGGGGTGTATTTCATTTTAACTTACTTAACTTAGACAGTTTTTGGACTAATAGCGTATTAAAAGTGGATCAAAGTTTAGAAAAACACATGTCTTTTAGTAAGTACAACTCAATATGATTAAATAGCAGAGTTTGTCAACAAAAAGTAACATACTTTCAGCATGCTCGCGATAAGCCAAAAACTGCTATATTTGGGAGTTGGGAAAAGGCAAAAAGCAAATGCTACAAAATGTTTATTACAGTCTCCCACAGGGCAGTTATTTTTTCCATGGGGCCACATGAGAAACAGAACATATTGTAGAGGACCAGGCCAAAATGCTTACCTCAATTCTGCATAATATTAATTGTATTTCTTTATAAAAAGCAGTAAATAGCTTTGTTTTGACAAGCTGGTGCGACTGGTAAGAGTTTATGTTATGACTAAGCAATGAAAAAGTGAGGCTGCCTTACAAAAAAGTCATAAAAAAAACACCTCTAAAATAAAAGCAATGCATGAGGTAAAACAATGCTAAATGTTTATTTTGTAATTCCAAATGAGCTTAAACGGGCTGGTCACAGTCAACCAAAGGGCCATATGTGGCCCAGGAGCTGGACAATGCCCAGGTCTGCTCTACCACATGTCATACCATGAGGCCTGTTGGGTGTCATGGTTACAAAACCAACCTTGTTACGAACTGGAGTGAAGTCTTCCAGTTACTAACTAACTACTTTCCTATTTAGTAACCAAGACAAAGAGTAATGTGGTAGGCTAGTGCACAAGTCAAACCAAGCGGCATCTGTTCAAATAGCATGCTATGTTTTATCTGATAACAAATGCTCATCTGGACAGCAACTATAAAGGGAAACTCTGTGTCACACGGTTATGTTGTCACACAAGTTTTCATAAACACAAGCTTGAGTGAAGACTATTGATAATCAGATACTAATCCATACTAAAACTAGATTTGAAACGAGATGCTTAGACAAATGTTATTGGTTCACAAGGGAAATTATTTGGACAGCATATTGCGATAACAAACAGACATATGGATGGTATATTACATTCTAAATAAGTAGCAGAAATAGCAAAAAACTAATACTGAATAAGGCATAATGATATAAATGTAAAGTAAAAATTAAAAATAAAAATATATAGGGAAAAAAAAAAGAAGAGGTCATAAGGAAAACAGTGCAAAAATGAGATGATGATTGACAGGATATAGGGTTATCTGTTACATAAGGGTAAGTAGTTGTCCAGTTGTATGGAGTATGGTATGAATGTAGTCCTGTATTGCTGACTCATCTGATCATTATTTAATGCTGAAAGTCACATTCTATGGTGTAAAGAAAGTTTTTTTTTTTTTCTCTTCTATTATCATTGTGGTATCAGAATCGGTAGGCCTGTCTATTCCTTTAGACTGAAATAGAGTTAAAAATAACAACAACCTATTTATTATGGAATATATGAAGCTAAGAATGGTTAAAAAAGCAAAACTGCTGACATATGACCCGTGGTTCCAATTTTGCATTATAAAACATGTAACATATTAGAACAGAATACTTGCGCTGGCCTCTGCTCTTGTCCTTCTTAATCAACTTGTATTGTGTTGCATTGTTTTGTATTATATGTGTATTCGCATAAACAAGGTATATTTAAGTGTCAAAATCCCTAATCCTCCATAGGAAAAGCCCATGTATCCACAGTGAATCGTCTTCCTTTATCCCAGATCAGCTGTTTTTGACCGGGTGTTTTCCAGCTGTCTACCTGAACGGTTTCACGCGCCTTGTGTTTGGGCCAAGCAAAGATACACTTTTAACCAGATCAAGCGAATGCAAATAAAGGATATGTTAGTTCAACGTTAAAAAAGGGACAAAACTAAACACAATGGAGTGAAATAAATAACTCTGAAACGCATCTTGAATCAGCGTTTAGTGTTCGAATCAAGCTGCGCAGCATCGTTACGCACAACATCCACTTTACTTCAAAATAAAACTCCGCACTAGTTCTGCGATCTTCAGTTCAGTCTTAACTGAGTAAATGAACAAAACAATTAATGGAAAGAAAAATGAAAACTTGGGCATGGATATAAAGGCTACATAGAGAAGTCAATCAAACATAAAATGTACACTTAAAACGAGTCGATTTTTTGGTCTATGACTTCAGGTAAACTCTGTACTCCTTTGTGCCAATAAATCCTTTGTTTCCACAGACTAGAAGGCGAGACCACATTAAACTTTAGCTATAGATCTTACCAAATAATTTCGCAACTCGTTCTAATAAATTTTCAGAGTAAAACGGAGCGATCGGTTCATTTTTCAATATACTGTAAATTACGGAACCTCCGCTGACCGTGGTACGTGCCGTGCGCTTTTCTCCGGGTTTCCTCAATAAACCCGCTTCGCTTTTGTCTTAATTTTAGGGGTCTCTAAGTAAATCCGTTAGATCATTTCATAAGTTTTTAGTCCAGGTGATGTGAAATGGTGTTCCCAGTCTCACCTGAGTGTGTTTCCCCTGGTTTTGGGAGGTAGCCAGCACGGTGTCTTTTAAAGTGCATCTGCGCCCCGCAAACAACTGGCTGCTGCCTCTGTTTTCAGCTGTGAGGAGACGTCACGTGGTCACGTCATACTGCAGGCTTCTGGGGAGCTCCAAGTCTACCTCCTGTGTCATCACGGTTATTTTTAAATCAAATGAACAGGACATTTGCTTTCACAGGTTGATTTAATTTCTACTGTCTGTGTTTATTTAATTGTGCCTAATAACTTTCAGACTGAATTGGCTCAACATTTTGCTTTGGCCCCACAAGGAGGCTACCCACATGGCATATGAAATTATTTTAAACAAAATATTAAAAAGTCATCAAAATTTTGAAAAAGGCTGAAACACATGTATCATATTGATATCATGATGTTGTTTTGTAGTTTTGTAATAATACATAAGAACGTCTGTTAGAAAAGCTCAGTGGTACACAAAAGCATAATAAATATAGCATGAATAAAAAATTAAGTAAACTATAGTGTTAGCTTCCTATTGGCTTATTTACCCTATTTAGTCTTTTTTTTTTTTTTGAATGCATTTATTTTGGGCAAGTAAAGATTTACATTCATATACAAGCTATTCAATCAATCTATTGGGCTTATGTATTAGGGATGCACTGAACCAATACTGCTGTGGGATATCGGCACAGATACGACAAAATTCCCTGGAAGAGATATTGTCTTTAAAAAAAGGTTCTACTGATATCATGGTTTAACGCATAAATGTATGTAACAAGATTTTATATTTATTTTATTTATACATTTATATATTTAATAGCTGTAGTTGGCCCAGAAACTCTCATAATGTTTGAACTTTTATTTATTCAATGTTATTCTGTAGTTACTTAAGATATAAATAACAGCCACATAACACATTTGGAGCAGTTTTGTCTTATTTTATTTTTGTTTTCAGGAAATAAATGCGTACAATTCCAGTGTCTGCACTGGTATTGGCAGATACTTAAAGCAATAGTGTATCAGAACTGAAGAAGCTCAATCGGTGTAACCCTACTGTTTATCATCCATTATTGGTATAGTTGAGCAATGATAGTTTATTGTTGTTGGTAAGGTTTGGACATTAAGTCCTTAGGCAAACTTCCAAATAACTTCATCTCCAAAAATTCTGTGGTAGATAAAAGTTGCCCTAGTATGGCGCAGAGAACCCTGCAGCCTCTCTTCTCTAATGAGTGACGGTCATGACAAAGAGCGTTCCTATCAGTGACTGTGTTGTGCTCTCACGTCACAGGAGGTGTGAAGAACACTCAAATAATTAGAGCAGACCTGTTAAGAGCACGGGCCACAGAGCAAGGGCCTCCTGCTGCCCTGCTCACCAACCATATGTGAACACTAGGCTAGTGAAATACCAAGAGTGGTACAAAAAGTCAAAGAACATGCTCAGTACAATCAAGACGGTGTCTAAATCACTTGTCAGCACACATGAGAAGAGAAATGCACAATTTCTACATGTTTTCTATTATTTTCTGGGATCAATTCTCAATTGTATTAATTGATAAAATACATAAAAAATGTTATGCCATTCATTTCATGCTTGTGATGTCCTCTAAATTGTGTTTAGATTTATTTAGAAAACACTTAAATAATTTCAGAATGCTATTATAAGTCTAGGTGACTAAAAATGTTAAATTAAATTGTGCCAAAGTCAAAAGGTCCATGAAAAATTGTCCCAGGTTGTCATTCTATTATAAACTGTTTGAATTACAATGTGCTCTGCCCATATAAGGCAGCGTTTCCTAACCAGGGGTACAACTGGGGACAGATTTTAAAGAAAAATGGAACTAAATAGTATTTGAATATAAGATGCAGTACATTTTACATTCTCTGTTAAATGAAAAGAAGAGAATGCAATAGTTATAATTGGCAATATACCAGTCATCAGATTGTGTTATTAGTCAAATAACTGTTAGTAAAGAAACAGCAGTGCACTATATATTGAGTACTCATGACAATAAAGGGTGAGGTAAGGAATCTCTTGAGACTCCAGGTTCTATTCACATCTTGATTAAAACCATTTAATCACATTGCATTAAGACATGTCTCTAGCAGGTGGCATTAGTGTATTAGGCCAAAATAATTAAGCCTACATGAAGGATACTGCAGAATTCTTAAGCTATTCTTTGTAGGAGAAACAACAGCAAAGCCCCATGAGAGGAAGCACAGCAAGATAAAAGAACGACTACAGAACAGGAAAAACGCAATCATACTGTACCAGGGCCAATGAAACACAACTAGCTTCATTTATTAATCCTATATATACACATCTAGAAGCAACAGATGGAATGTACATATATTAACAAGATACAACAATACAAAAGTGCCAAAATCACAGTATCTTACATTTATGTGTGGGAAGCTAGTCTGTTCACTTTAAAAAACACCTAAAATTAAGCATAGCCTACTTTTTATGCACACAAGCTGGAATGTTCACAATATAAAAAGTAATAATTTGTGGCTTATACGACTATCTCTCCCACTTTCAATCACAACTCTAAAGTGCAACTAAACTGACTACAAAATGAAGTACAAAAAGCTTATTGAAGTGTGAAACTTCTATTACATGAATTTTGTTTCCCTGACAAAAATGTAAGCAAGTTTCATCTAGTTAAAAAATATAAAGCAAATATAATTTCTTTTTAAAAACATTATCAAATATATACAGCAAACATGAATACATACAAGCTCCAGGCATGTACACAGTTCCTGAGAATGTCTTCTTCACTATCAAAGTGAAGATGAAATAGTAATACAGCAGTAACAGTGTGATTCCAGTGATTCCAGCACATTTACAGAATATTACTGTCCATTGTATTGTGACCGTGAGTACTAGCTAGTTGTATCATTTGACAATCTTCGGTGGACCTCAGTACTTCCTGTTTACAAATACCTCAATCTTATACTGTCATTTGTACATCTAGCTCATCTCCTTGGTTTGTAACATATGTTGTCTGGTAGAGCCTGTGCTGCTGCTGCCCAGGACTGAGCCACCAGCCTGTTTCCTCATCCAGTCCAGCATGAAGAAGCGTAGCATAAGGAGGAAGCCTGCAAACAATAATATAATATTCAGTGCTGTTTGAAAGTATCATGCAAGGGTAAACAATCAGCCTGCATAGTTTATGGGGAGAAAAATTATGAAGTGGATTTGTATTACTGATCATGTTATTGTAATGTAATGCAACTGTGAGTATGGATAGACGTGACAGTTTATCAAAGTTCTTTTCTAACACATTTGTGTGGATGTGAATCATGTGACAATGGCCATGTTATTGTCTTGAGACAATTCACCTTATTCCATCCACCAAGCACACTTTTGTCTCTAAATGCTCCTAAACCGCACTTTTTTATGGTGGCACTTCCAGTTAAACAGGTCATTCATATCAAAGGCAAATATTCTGCACCACACCGATCCTCTGGGAGGCTCTAAAAGGGCTTTATAATCTGTACTGATCTTATTTGCTGATGGCCCCATACAAAATAATACAACCTGAATGATGATGGCAGACAACTGCCGGAATAAGGTGAATAACGATACAGATTCACACAAAGTTTCAAATGTATCTGCATTCCTTGAAAGAATACAGATCACACATTTAGTAGAAAAATTATTCACATTTTTAACCATTTAAATTTAGGATAGTGTATCAGAGTTTTAATTTTGTACAAGATTAATTCCTGCAATTTTTGTGTTCACTGTTCATATATGACAAATTTATGAGAATCAGTCCCACCCCAGCTGCTGAGTGAACCACTGAATGACCAGTCCAATCACAGGGCAGCATTGTGGTGAAGTGCCCACACACAACAAAACAAACATGGCCAGTGCCAACATACCTAAATAAATACATTTTAGTAGAAACAATTTTGTTTCGTTCTGTGCTTTTCTCTACTCTAAATTTGCTTGCTCCTTTGACACTTTGCCCAATAACATTGAGAAAATTAAACTTTTTCCTGATTGCTTTCAATGAGAGCCTGGTTACCCAAGTTGTAAAAGTGAGTAACCTGTGTCAAACCAAACATGCACTGAAAGGTTAGTGAATCCAACCTTGAAATGAGTTGAGGATGCAGGAAAGAAAGAGAACGAAGTCAGTCAGTGGGCCGAAGTCTAGGAAGGTGAGACCCCAGGTGGTCCCAAAGAGGCAGCTGAGGCCCCAGATACTGAGGAAGGCCACACGGTTCTGTCTCCACTCGTCTCTGTTTCGGATCTCTCTGTAGACCATGAAGAGCATGACTAGCCCGGAGCTCACCAGCATGGCCAACAGGGTCAAGTTGATGACATAGTGTGCCAGGAGAGCCTTGTCATTAATCTTCATCCAACACCTTGAAATGCACAAACATGAGAAATGCCTACTCTTACTCAGCTGATGCTAAAATGCCATTCCTGATCTTACTTACATTTTGTATGGATTTGAATTTTCAATTTGGTGAATCTCCCTCATGCCATAAATATCTGGTATTATTGCCAAGATGATGACTGGAACAGCAGGTGCACCTACACAATATCGAGCATAGATAAAATAAGTTAGACACTAAATATTTTCTGCCAGTATTTTTTCAATTTTAAAAGCTTACCAAAGCCAACCAGGTTCCAAATCCACGGTTTTGGGGTGGGACTAAAAACCATCTGGACCAACCAGAAAGTATGAAAGACCTCGATTCCCATCCATATGAGGGAGCTAAGCATGGCGTAGTGAAGGGCTGCTCCCACCCAGCCACACACGCTCTCACTCACATTAGCCAAAACCCCAGTGAAGAAGAAGAGTAGGTTGAGGAGGGCCAAAGACACTGCTAGCCCCATGTGAATTGGAATGGAAAGCTCCTTTGAACGACGACTACAAGAGAAAGTGAGGTAAACATACAAATTTTTGTGTATATAAGGTAATAGTATGTGAACATTACATATTACGTTACATTACAAAACTTTAAAGTTACAACTTGCCTCTTTCTGCAAAGGAAAACAATGAGCGCAATGCAGCTGATAAGGGAGACGGCACACCCCAGAGATGTAATAGCAGTCAGGGCCAGTAGATGGCGTACTGGTTTAGGTTTAAGTTCCTGTTGCGGATGAGATAAGGTGTTGAAATGACATTTAAAGATGTTAGCAATGCACTGTGTATTGTAAAAGACTTACCACTAGGACAGTGAAATAAGTCAGATGGTTGCAGTGGCACTCGGTCTGTTTTTCTCCTTTTACTTGTGTTTCACAACCTTCCTCCAGCCAGTTCACCTTTAGAGTGTCTAATGAAAAAAAGTAAGTGTTTACTTAAATCTACTATGATGTTTAAGATAACTGAGAAAAATTAGTCATACCTTTTCTGGTATCCCACGAAACACATTTTCTTGAATGAGTTTTCTACAACAGAAGGATAAGGATGCATTGCTGTATACACTGCATAAAAGTTTTAACAGCAGTTTCAAACTGCATATTTTTTTTTATAAAACAGTATTTTTAAAATGCTATTTTTTTTTTATAAAACAGTATTTTTAAAATGCTATTTTTTTTTTAGATTACACTAGGTGTTATTGTCCTCTTTATCAAAAAATTATTGTATAGCAATGGGTATAAAAACACAACAATACAGGAAAAGAGACAATAGAGAATGCAGTCACTACATTCACACATCAAGAGCATACCTATCAATTGAAGCAGCAGTTACCATGACAAAAAGAACTGACAAGATTAAACCAATGCATCAGTCATTTAAACCCAATTATCGGATAACACAAAACCTCTCAGATTTTGCTAAAAGCCTCTCTTTAAATGACACAGTATAGTATAGTATCAGATTCACCTATATTTGAGGTTCACCCTAGTTTCTTTCTGTTTATGTGGTATACACATACAAGCATACACAGCTGTCACACAGTGTAACTCATCTTTTTCAGATCAAAAACACCAACACTAAAACCACTTGGCTGTCTGCTCTGCTCTGTGTGCGTCAAATGCATGGTGAAATGATGCATTTAAAAAGTACTGGTTTCTTATACTTACAGGGATCACATCGTGGTGGAAACCTATTTTGATCGGCTCTGATAAATCTTTAATAATTTCATTATCTATACTGATGCTGACCACATCGCTGAGAATTTTGGCATTATTTGGAGCCTCCTGAAATACAAAGACAATATGTTCTTACAATTACATACAAGGATATTCACTAAAAATACAGCTGGTTTTAAACAAATCTTCTATACCTGGAACAGTGAGGTGTTTCTGAAGTAGGTGCAGACGACTTCATTATTAAATTTTGTTGCTTTCTTTAGAGCCGGGGGTAGGTGGATCGAAGGAATAACTTCTGGTGCAACACCTTGTGGAGGCTGCCAATTAAAAAACATTAACAATGAGTATAAGTACAAGACATGCAACATAAGTAACATTCAGTGTGTTATAATCATGAAAAGTGTGTGTAAATATGTATATTTAGGGACAAAATGCTGGTTTGTAACTCTTGTCAGTAAAGGGTTGGGATCAAAAGGCCTTCATGTGGTTAACCTAGCACCTATTTTCTCATGTAAACACAGACAATCCTCACAGTAAAAACCTTTATTTACTATGAAAATGTTATTTAATCTATAGGTGAAGTTACAGTGTTTCAGATTTCATTGGAGCATTCCTCAAACCTTTAAGCCCTGGACTATGCATCAGTTTACATAAAACATACTTAGGGATGTTTTATCACTTACTATTGGTGATATCAGAGGGTTTTCCCCATTTGCCACCAATGTATCAGATTTGTCTTTCTTTTTGTAGACTCATGAGTAAAAATCAAGCACAATTAGGCTAAAACATGGCTGTATGTTTACAGTGAATCAACAAATATATGCTATCCTAGATAAATCATTTTTAAGTGAAAAATTAAATTAACATGTATTTATGATCCTCAATTCGATATTTAAAAGCTTAAAATCAATAGACATATCGTATATTGGCTCCAAAAAAATCCATATCCATCATCTTACAGTAAAAGTCACGTTGTAGCCCACGACACTGTCCTCCAGCTTCAGTGCAGTACTTTGGGCACAGGGATTCTGAGTCTCTTCCTCCAGCCTGGATTGAAACACATCATAATCAAGTTAACAACTGCACTTTGACACATAGGGGTATTTCTGCTTAAACCCAAACATAACTTCCTGTCTGCAGTCAACCATCTTTTTCACATCAAGTTTGATTATACAAAGCTTACGGTAATCTGGTCTCAGTAATCAAGACAAAGATGAACGGTGTTTACTGACAACAAAAAAATAACTGCATTATCAAAATAAGAAATCGCTATTTACAATTTGAGCTGGGTAGATCCCTGGCTGGTTTCACAAAATGTCTTCCCTGTAAAAAAAAAAGAAGAAGAAGAAAATACAGAATTAAATAGAGGAATAATTACCACATTTTGGCAAGTGCTTATGACAGGTTTTCCACTTTTTCTAAATACTTAATTGGGTAGGATAGTGCATGTGGTTAAAAAAAATAAATAAATACCATAGTTTCACATCTGTTAGGGGGATGTTTATTGAAAAAAATTAAAAGTAAAAAAATTGTCACATGCACTTGAAGTAAGTAGATGGTTAAAACTGTCTACTCACGGCAGTTGAGGTGACTTCCATTAAAGTCATAGTAGGCCCATGTTTTTTCACTTATCACATCATCGCGCACAGTTCCGTTTGTAATCCCAAAGGTTCCTTTGTCGCGGTTGACATGAGGAGACAGATGCGTGCAGCAGTTGTCGTTGAGACTAGCAGGTGAGCACAGGGGAAGAACCTCTTTGCCAATCTATTTTGTTAAAAAACAATACAAAAAGGTTCATGTTAAGTCATTGTTTTTGTGAGACATATTTATAAAATGTGTTAAACATGATGTTTGCATCTGGAATAAAGTCATCTACATATAGGTCTGTATGGTTGGAGTACAAATTACTCTTAGATTTGATATTGTTGCATACAGTATTTGTGGTAGGTGAATTTATTGTAAAAAAGGATTTTCTGTTAAGTGCACGCCAGTAGGAGTAGTCTTTCCACCGGCAAAGACTTAGAGGATACTTAAATAAACAAAAGTCCCAATTGTTGTTATCAGCTAATATTCCTGACTCACTTCTCCAAATTGTCAATCTTTATCATACTTTGAGTGAGTGACGGCCAGATGTAAACAATCAGAGGGGCGTGTGAACTTTTAGTGCTCTTATATGCACCATGTAAATTTACTGGGGCAAATTCACCCACCTCCTTGTCTCCGTGAAGATTTTAATGCTTTGTTTGGAATGTGTGGCATTAGACATAATCTACCTTGCATTCTGCTAAATGCCTGCTTGACTGATTGTTTAATGCCATATTGTGGAACATTCTAGGCGAGGCTATAACATTTCCATGAGAACAAGAAGGTGGCTGACAAGCAGCAACTACTCTTGTAATTTTTTTGCCATATCCACAACCCTAATATTGTACTTTTGTATTGTATGTGTATTTAATATTTCCTCACAGTTTACCTTTAACCTGAGTTGGTCCACGAGGGGCTCCCAGTACACACAGAAGTCAGTCCCCGCTTCAGTGGGCTTTATGTGTGTCAGGGGAACAGTGACAAGGCTGGTGCACTGAGCCGTGATCTGCCCCATTACAGACAGATCGCTCTCATTGGCCGAGACTGCAAAGCGATCACATCCCGTGGTCAGGTTCACGTTCAGACTCAGAGGGCCCTTCCCATGGCGCCAGGTGCCGCAAAATTTCAAGTTCCTGTCATCTTGAGCAGATGCTACAAAAGATAATACAGTTGCAACAATTAATTAATGACTTCAATTTAAGATTTGTCCAAGCTTAGTCAATTAATTGCTCTACGGCACAGGTGTCAAACATACGGCCCGGGGGCCAGATCTGGCCCTCCAAGACTTTTAATCTGGCCCTCGGCTGATTTTCTACTAAAATATTTTAATTATATTTTCTATTAAAAGATTGTTAATTTTCTGTGGTGTTTATCACAGCAACATCTCTGTGCGTGGCCCCTCCCACCAGAGCAGCACAAATGAAGACTTGCTTCTTTCCAAACGCTCTTAAAGGACGATTGTTTTGACTGTTGACCGTGACACCCTCATCAGCAAAATGTCAAAAATGAGAAAAGTGGAGCCGAGTGCAGGATTTTACAACAAAAATTGACTTATTCCTATTTACATACAAGTTAATGTAACATTGTGTTGAAATTGTATTGAAAATTGTATTTTTCTTAAAAGTTTCAGGTTATTCATAATATTATAATATTTTGTAAAAGTAAGAGTTCATCAATTAAAAAAGATATCTGTAATAGATTTGCGTTTTTCTGCACAAATATTTGAACTTATTGATATTTTTGGGGTTTATGTCATGAGTTTTCTGATCCGGCCCCTTTGGGATCAAAATAGGTTGGATACGGCCCCCGGACCAAAATGAGTTTGACACCCCTGCTCTACGGTGTCATGTTTTTATTAGTGTCTATTCTTATTTTAATGGTATTTATTTGCACAACAGCAAAATGCAGAATGCATAAAGTAAGTTAGCCTGAACTTTTGGAATGCCTGGACATTTTCTTTAGTTCACCAACAAAAATGCTTTTAGTGAACTACAGCTAGTTTTTGTACATTTTACTTGCAGTCCGCACTTTGTTTGACACTTCTCCACTCTGAGATCAAATATATATTGAAATGCTTATTTTCAATTATTACCATGTTGCTCTGAAGTACACATCCTGTGTGGGTTTGTGCTACTGCCTCTCACCATTATGAGAACAAGTGAAACTGCACTGGTGGCTAATAAACCTTCTCTGTCTGTGATTTTTTGTTTGTTTTTTTCCTGTGAAGTCTTTGTAGCTAAATTCGGATTACTAAAGTCTGTCCACACAGCGGAATAGCGGAATACGTACCAGGAGAGGTGAAAATGGCAACAAAGAGAACTGTCCACAGAGTCCTTGCCAGCCTGGGCTCCATTGGCGATATCTGTAAATGACAAAACACATGAGCATAAACAAAGGCTGTGCAATTACTCAAAGTTTATTGAAGTGATTGGAGTAATTATTGTAAACTATTAAGGAAATCATGTTCTGCAATGATTCTGGTCTCATCGGTCCTCTAAAATATGAATAACAATGAAATAATAATGGAAAAAAAAAAATCTTTTCCCAGAATGAGATGTTATCACTTTGCGTTTCTCAATGAAAACAAACAAATAACACTAGGCCTGTCATAATTACTACAACAACTGAAAGCTAGAACAATATATTTTAGAGCTAAATATTTATAGTGGGTACATTTTCTTTGTAATAATAATGTTATTTTTGTATGATACAATAAAATTTGAGCTGCAAGGGAGTTGAATAAGTTACTTGTATGCCTAATTATTACTTCATTGTGTTATTTGTTGCAGCGTATGCCTTTTAATGATACTGTCTATTTAGTAATGGTTTACTGGGAATTATCCTGCATTATTTTAATTGCATCAATGGCATTAAATAGTTTGAATATTATTGTTCACTTAGTTATTGCAATATTTAGCAAAATATTGTGTTTCAAAATTAGTTATTGTGACAGGCCAAGACAACACCACCAGGCGAAGTTACAGGTCAGATCTGTAGACAGTCGACCCTGCTCACATTAAGAAAGATATTTTCTTTGCAATGTTTTATGCCATATAGTGGAACAGAGTTTTGGTTGATGGTTTACAGCACTTTGGTCAGCGGCAAAGAATTCATAGTCAATTTGAAAAACTAAAAATGTATGTTCTTCTTTTTCTTTTTTTTTTATCCACACCAACAACATATAGCCAACATTCCTTCAACTCCAGACATCCTACATCCACCTACAGTCTATATGGAGAGACAGCCAAAGATTAACACAACGTTTTCATTATGATACTATTCTTATTACGACGCCTCCATTGTTATCTATGGGCCCCTTATCAACAAATACAAGTCAGTTCAACGTCTGAATACACACACACCTCTTATCAATGGAAACATTCTTCCCCTAAACGGTTAGACTCAAGCTCAGTGCAGTATAGTGTAAGATTGGCCTTGTTTAACACACAAAATGAAACCAAAATATTGTTGTATAATGATTATATTTCAGTATTCGGTATTATTATATTTCAGTCACTCTAATTCTTACCAGAAACTAAATAAATAGCCCTGGGTACAGCAGAGTAATATTTTCTTTTCATAATCAGATGACCATTACAGTGTTTCCCAGACTATAATGCCACCCCAGTCGAGAATGTTTGGTATTGTTGTTATCTATTTGCATTTAAGTTTTCAAATAAAGCTTTGTGTCGATTGGCCAAAACACAATATTGGCGTCTGCTGGAGATTTAAGAACGATAACAGGTTAGCTACAAAGTGCAAATATCCCCTGAACAATATAACGGTCTATCTCTATCTCTGTTTCTATCTCTATCTCTGTCTCTGTCTGAAGATCTATGAGAAACACTGTCATGTCAACTTTTTAAAGCTGATCTTGTGATAAGAGTTGACAACGAGACCTTTAAATGACCCGACTGAGGTATTGTATTTATGCAATAAGAGAGAGTGAGAATAAAGCTTTTCACTTGAAAGTTACTGTACAGCCTATGCATGTAAAAGAACGAGAAGGAGGTGAGATTGTGGTTTTCCTTATCACCGTGCAGCAGACAGCAATTGACAAAACCTCAGACTGTGCACAAAGGTTACACAAGAAACAAGGACACGTTATTTTTAAACAGCAAGCATGGCCAGGGTGCCCACCAGACACTCCAGATGTGCTTAAGAAGACTATAGACCACACTGACACTCATGAGCTGTTGAGACACAACTGAAAGAAAGATGAAGGGTTATCTGGGTTTAATCATTTTTGAGGTCTCTAACATTTCTTACTGTAACATTCAATGGATTCTTGTCAAAACCTTACTTGCAGTGTTTTTTGTTTCATTCATTCATATTTGAGTAATTCATTATTATTGTCTACATTTCCAAAGCTCAAAATGCTCTCTTCCACCTTGTGATGTCATTAAGTGGTAGTTTTTTAAGTTATCAGCTACCTTTTACCTTTAGTTCAGTAGAGCTTGGCAATTCCAGTGCTGAAATCATCCAAATGTTTCTAGAGAACTTTAGGAGTTTAAAAGCACAGTGAAGCACTTCCTGTATTACCTCATAATATCACAAAGTGGAACATTTTCCGTTTGAGAAGAGTGCAGCCCAACTATGCTGGGTTTGTGTGTTAAACTTGTATGAAAGAAACAAAACACAACTGTATAATTCTGATGAGGAAACAAAATTATACAACAAAATAATGTAACACAGGCTCTTTAATGGACCCATGCTGTGCCATTTTTGATAGCTTAAAGTTCATAAGAGAAAATTTGGTGTAATATATGACTTTTTACCCTCTGGCATAGTTTGGGTTATTTTACGTGCTTTTGATAATTTTGTACACATTCCTCCAATCAGCATCAAATTTGGTGAGGCAGTGGCTTTTTGAAGGATGTAAAAACTTGCTCCTCATTGACCACATCAGACCAACAGTACACAGTGTCCATCAGTTTGTCATGATAGTATCATTAAGAGCATAAAATATGCATAGTATTTGGACATCCAGCAATGTCTTTTTGGGTTCATTCTTTTCAGACACTTCTGCTCTACATTTTGGTAAAAACAGTTTTGATATTTTTTATGATTTTAACTCTTTAAATGCCATTTCTTATCATTACAAAAAACGTGTGGGCAAAAACATTTTTTTTATATTTTTCCAATACGATAAATGCAAAGGAAATAATTTTGTGATGTTTTCTTGCAGCAGGGTAAAGGTTAATAATTGGAACCAACATTAGTTTTTGTGCATTGGTAGATTTTGTGTAGAGTGAAATACTCATGTTTGCACCATTAAGCACATACAATGGGCACTGAATTTGGACATCGATAATTTTCTTAGTTCATTATTATATTCAACTTTCTTTGGGCTCATTCTTTTCAGCTACTTTTGCTCTAAATATGGATATAAAATATTATTGTAGATTTTGACATTTTAAATCCCTTTTTTGATTTGAATTGACCCTGATTTTGGTTGAAAATTACACAAATGATAATTTCTTTCTAAAATATGAAATACAAAGCAGATTATTTTGTCCTCTTTTATTGCAGTCTGGGGTGGGTCAGTAATTGGCAGCAACAGTAGTTTTTGTGCACTGTGATTTTATTTGTGTGATCTTAATACTCACGTTTGTATTGTTGAGCACGTAAAATGCGCCATTGACACCCATTCAAATGGCAGTTTTGGAATTTGCTCCCATGGAAATGTTTCTAACTGAGCTTAAGACTCAAAAGTGTTCATATTTACTGCTCTGTAACAGATCACACATTTTTAATTTTTCAGATTTTCCCCTTTGATATGCATTATAATGATACAGGGACCTCTCATCAAGGAGTGTCGCCCCCTACTGGTCATAGATATTTATTTCAAATTGGCTTTTTTGGTGTTTTTTTTTTTTTTTTTTTTTGTGCTCAAGATTATTAAAATTACATAAAGATGATTTTGTGTTGTGTATTTTTCCCTCTTTGACAGCCTCAATGTCCATGTTTAGCATTTATCAAGAAACCATAAAAAACATCTTAAAACAGCACACTAACAGTGACCAAAACCATTCAAAAAAATTAAAAATAAAAAATAAATAAATAAAGCCTCTTATTTGTGTGCCTTTCACAGTGTAATAATTCCTTAATACAAAAGGGGCAAAAGGTCAAATTAATTTATTTGCAAAATATAGTTGCAACTTGCAGCCCTACATCAAAATCCAACCATTATAAAATAGGGTGTATACAGCACGCATACAGAAAATACAGAAATGAATGAGGGAAACATATACAGCCGACTTCTTTTTTTTTTCAAACACATGACTATTTTGCGGTTTTGTTACTTCCTTTTTAAAGAAATGAGATACAATATCAAATGGGTGGGTAAAAAAATGTGTGAAAAGGTCCAAATGGGTGTTTATAATACTGAAACCTCTACATCCTGCATTGTGGTTAAAGTTCCAATATTATGTAAACTCTTGTGAACTTATTAAACCATGTTAGAATGTTCTTTGTCAAAAACATACCTGGAGTTGTGTTGTGCTACATTCACATTTTTCTACGCACACTGGTCTATCTTGCGATGTCATGTCAAGTTAACAGCTACTTTTTACCTTTTGTTCAGCAGTGATTGGAAATTATAGGGATGAAATTATCCAGATGATTCTAGTGAAGGTGTATGGAGCTTAAAAACACAGTGGAGCACTTCCTGTATTACCACATGACATCACAAATCACAGTGTTTTCGGTTTGAGAGAAGAACTCAGCATAAATATGTAGGATTTGTCTGTTAAATATGTGTGAATGAAAGAAAACAAAATTCCAGGTATGATTTTACTGTCTAAAAAATGTGAAAAACGGATCTAGTTCATTTTAAATGGTTTGCAGTGGTCCAAAGTTATGCCTCACTTGCATTTCAAACATCCTAATTGTTGTGATGAGTTTAGAATCGCTTTTGACCACTCCTACAGACCAGAGTGGAGTTTTACAGTCACAATAAACTCGAGCATGCTAGCAGTGCACTTTCTGATTATCGGACAATGAAACGCCTCATAATTAAACACAGACAGAACGACAAAGGACTTGACTTCGACTTTGAGCTGCTCATACAATATATCTGTACTGGGGAAATACAAAACAAATTTTGCTTGAATCCATGGGAAAAAGATCACCTCACAATGCCTTTAAGTACAGACTGGTAGGGGTAAGTGGGTTTAACGTAATCCAACAAAGCCCACGTAATTCTCAGAGGTGCATGGGAAGAGCAATGTGTTGGCGGTCTTACTGGTCTCGTATTTGAGGGCCTGCACAGACTAGTTGAAATTGTGCTTAAGCTTTCATGCAAAGAAACACAGTCAAAGCAGTGGTGGTGGATGAGGGTTATGAGGTTATTTGAGTTATTACAATGAACAAACACACCTTATGAAGTCATATATCAGGTAAAAAACAGCATAATGTAAAGTACCAGAAATTCTGTGCAAAAAATACTCAATTAAACTGTTTTGTTCATGGATATAATGAGTTTGCCAAATAGAGAGAGCTTGGAATCTGTTACCAAAAATGGTATGTTACTGGTAAGATGTGCATCCACAAACGTCTCTAGAGATGTTTTAAGCTGCTGAGTCATTACTCGTATACATTTAACACTAGGGATGTAACAATAACCAAAATATCGTGATGTTGTATCGGCAAAGTTCTCACAGTAATATCGTGGACCATCACAATATATTGAATTACAAGTCTCTTTGCCTAAATCAAGAGTTACGGTGCAACAACAGCTAAAAAAAAGACAGAGGGAACTACATAGACCATGATCCTTTGCTCCATTTCAGTGCAGACTACAAGAAGAAATAACAGTTCTAAGCACTTTTAAGTCTTAGTTCTCTGGATTAAGTCTTGTCAAGGCATTTTAAGAGGAAAAAGTAGCATATTAACAGTTTTGCTTGCCTCCACAAATGATCGCAATAAATATACCGTGAGATGTACATTGTAAAAATATCGTGCAGAGATATTTTAATATTGTTACATCCCTAATCGTGAGCCTTCCCACCATATCATGAGCTTTCCCACGATATCACAATAAATATAGTACCGTAAGGTTCATACCATGACAATATCGTATCGTGACATTTGGATATCGTACATCTCTATTTAACACACTATAGTGTTAGAATACTCTTAAATACATCCCCATTGGTTTAACATTAGGCTAAATAGAATTATGTGAGGAGTGATAACACAATACCAGTCTCTACAGTAAAATGACAGATAGTTGGGCTGTGCAATTTATTTTCATTGCCACTGTGCAAGAGTACCACCATAGACAGTATAAACAAGTGTACTAAGGGAGTGTGACTTCATCCATAGTCAAATGAAGCTCACCAAGGCTTTCAGTTATAGGGCAAAAACAAAAACAACCGGAAGCTCACTATCTATTTGGAATGCAACGGCTAGCAAATTAGCCATGTCATTTCATATATGCAGTCTATGAGTACAGCACATTTTTCAGCAATAGTCACGCCATCTGTAAGCATTCATTCTTTTTGAACAAGATTATATTTAAAAACATACATTATTGCTTCCACAAACTATACTATACTATAACACATCTATAAATCAATCAACTGCCAAGTAACCTAAAAAGTACAACACCCCCTGCTTTCTAACACCAACATCCCATGACTGACAACCCATCCCCATAGCAAACATTACATTAATGTGACACATCCTGTCCGTGAAAAGATCACACATAGCATCCATGTGAGAGAGCAGCATCAGCGCTCGACCAGCTCCTGCCCTCACCACAACAGAAGAACAGATGAGCGGAGTGTGTCTTGGAGGAAACAGTAAACTAGTGTCACTCCACCCACCCACTCACAGACCACCAGAGCAATGCACAAGAGATGCTCAGTGTCTTATAATGTCCTCTGTGTTTGCATCTGTCTGCATACATTAAAGTGGTCAACCCAGAGACATGTGGAAGGGATGAAAAGTAGCACTATGCCCAGAGCAAGTAACCCAACATCAGCAAAGATTTTTTATTTTTGGCACAATTTTTGAATTTATTTTATTTTGTCAAATGAAAAAAAAAAGTATGAAAAAAGGACTTGAGTTTTAATTTCCTGAACATACACAAGACACATTTTTAGTGCCATTTAATAGGAACATCATGACAACAAATTTTGAAGTACGCTATATTATTGTAAGTAAGTAAATATAGACAAAATAACCCATGACCAGATTTAAATCACAAAACTATTGAAAATGTACAATATTGTTAAAAAATCCTGAGCAGCAGCCTGCAATCAATAAATAGCAGAACGAAACACATCACTGACAATTAGAAATGACTGAATCTTGTACTGAACCAAGGGAAGACCGTATAATTAAAGCTCACAGCACTGCAGATGCTACCATCAGCATTCCCTTGATCTGTGTGAATGCCCATTGCCACTAATCAATAAATATTGACTCTGCATAATCTGTGTTGAACAAGAGAAAAAAATTAAAATCAAGTGAAACGTATTGTTTTTACATTAATTTTCAATGTGTTGTAAATTCAGTCTTATAAAGCATTTGCAGACAATCAATTCCCATGGCATTAAACCTATCTGTATGCATGTTTTTGAATATCATCTTTAACTAAATACAAGAAGATAGATCAGTTCAATGCCATACTATGAACATTCCAGGAAAAGCAATAGCATCTCCTTGGAGACTAGCAGATGGCAAACCCAGAAAAGTTACATGGTGCAACTGTAATTCAAAGCAGGACAAATTTTGTTCATATTTCCTAACCCTAATTCATCTTTTCTTTTTTTTTTTACAGTGCTTAAGCAAGCTGATGCTTGGCACAGTTCAAAACTTAGCTTGTGTTGAAAAGTAATTCTACCAGTACTCCCACACCCACACTGTATTGCCCTGTATGGCTACTGGCAACAATAGCGCTCAAGAATTTCCCCCTTTCTTTCACTTCCTAGATCAAATGAGTGTGTGTGTGAGAGAGGGAAGCACAGCTCAGATAGATCGAAAGAAAAAGTCCACTAAACTTTTTGAAGTAAACCCAACTTGTCACTTGATTGCATGTCACTTGCCTTGACCGCATTTCTCTCTCACGCTCCATATTACAACAAAAGCATTATTAGTGGCGACAGATAGCCAGCTCACATGACGTCCCAGCCAGTTTTCCAGTAAATTTTTGCATCTACAGGCATGAGTCACGCTTTGCTTTTATTATTCATGTTCACGAGTACTGTCTGGCTTGATGCAAAGTGACACTGTAGTCTAAACAATAAGTGGAGATGACGCAAAGTGAAAGTAGACTAACTAATAAAATATGGAACATTTTTGAAAGTCAATTGCTCATCATTTACCTCATTATCATATCAGTCCTATAGGTGTTAGAGCTGACATAATACTAAAATGTCAAGTTCCAATACTAAGGGAACAAAAATTAATTCTCAGTACCTATATTGATACCATAATATACAAAATTATAGCAGTTACTCATGTGGGCTTTTACTTGTTTTGATATAGAGCCAAATCACGCTTGTCATTTCCTGTGAGTGTTTTTCATTATTGATACATGTAAAAAGTTGTTTTGACACTCTTTTTCTGTTAGTATCACTGTTTTGACAGCCCTATCTCCCTTATGTGTACCTGCCTGTTTTACAGTCTACAGACTTTTCACTATCATATCTTAAAAATGCGTTGTGACTTGTTTGACATGATTGCGAGTTGATCTCACACCATAAAACCTGAAAATTTAAGAAAGCAATTATTTTTGTCTATTTTGTCCTTGGGCGCTATAGTTAGCAGTACCCGCAATCGCAGATTATGCAGGGAAAGAATGTGCAGTGAAGAGTACCTCGGGGGAACAAAAGGCGCTCTTTGTTGTCGAGCTTTTGAGCCGAAGTGACAGCCACCGTGAATGGAGGTCAAAGGTTGCTGTGGGGCAGATCCGAGACGGTTAAGCCAATGTTTTAGAGACATGGGCAAACAGACAAGCAGTCTACGTCCACATTTGAAAATCCACAGGCAAATACTGTATCCAACCGCAAGGAAGATATGGAAGAAAGGTGTAGGATGATATACACCACATATGACATAATATGAGGTACGTTTACCTTGAGGGAAAATGTTATAATGAAATAATCATCAGTCAACTACTTTAATTGCATTTCTGTGTTTTCTGAATTACCCATTACAAAATACACAAACTCCACAACATGCCTGTGCTGACAGAAAAGGTTTGATGACTCAGATACAGATCAGTAATTATCACAAAATTACCAAAAATCTGTTCAAATGACATCTCTTCCGCTTCATCTCCGTCAAGTTTTATATTCACGGGCCATTTCAACCTATATAACTATCCAAAATAATTATTAACTGAAAATGGAAAGGATAACTGACAGATTAGTTTGCCAAAATAATCATTAGATACAATCCAGCTGCAACCTGCAACAGCCTGCAACATAATATAACATATGATAATACTAGCCATTATATATTAGTATTATATTATAACAATCACATCACCCAACCTTGAGAAACCCAAATCTTGACCACTCATGATACCGTGTTGGAATTAAAACACAATGGATAATTCCTATAATATGCTTTTTTTTTTTTTTTTTTTTAAATTATCATACACCATTCTAACATTGAGGCAAGTTGATAGTACTGATGCAGGCATAAAGTGAAACACTGAATCAGTTCTGATGTTACCTGACTAGTAGGTTTTCTCTGGGTTTCATTATGTAAAATTACCAAAAACCACAGTGGCCAAACTGAAATTTGCAAAAGTTTGAGACGATGCTTAATTTAACCTATACAGCCTATTCAAATTAGACAATGCAATGCTCTAACATTACTAAGAGAAAACATTCTGCAAATTTAAGTAAGACGACAAAAAGTACCAAAAGTGCCAACTAGCCTTGCCTTGTGTTTGCCCCGTCTTGAATGCTCCTTTGTAGCAAGACAGGAACAAACTGGCATGCAATGGCTGCTGACAAGATGATTTACAAAAACACAAGACGGAAGCCACGACTGAGACCATTAAGCACACTAGGCATGTCTTAACCATTTAACCACAAAAACTAACTCATTAAGCAAGACATAATGGAATGGGATGACAAGCAGAGCATCTCAAGTGAAAGCAGAGACAATTTGTACAGATCAGACAGTGAAAGTGGAATGCTCCCTAGGCTAAACGCATTGCTTTGAGACCTTGCATTCTTTGCGGTGATACCATAGTGATGTTTCCATGCGTTCTTTATCTTTGTTTTCTTGTCCTCTGCCAGGGAAATTGGAGGAGCAGGTGGAATGTTGTGGATGTGTCCTTTGGGGCTGTGAATAAATCAATAGAACAACACAAAAGCTGGCGTGTTATTAGTGCGAGATCACCCCAGCGTTGGTACACAGAATATAAGTGAGGGTCAGGGGGCCAAGGGGAGGCTTTCTATTGCTCATTATGAAAGATAGAAGCAGTTCAAAGGAGCAGAGGCTTTCCTAGTGAGTCACAGAACAATGAGCACTTTTTAAATGTCATCTAGGTTTTGGTGCAAAATTACCAAATTGTTAAGCATCAAGGTGTGAAAATTACAGGAAAATACAGAAAACCACACTGGCACAACAGAGGCAAAACTTTCAAGGGTTGCTTTGATGTAATTTTCAGATTCTCAAAACCATGCATCAAAGGTTCTTTTAAATACTGTAAATGTGAGAGTCACAATAATAAATCAATGTTTCTCATTAATAAGCTATGACAGGCTGTTGTCTAACTGCATTATTGATGGCACAGTCTGAAAAACGCAGGGAAAAATATAAGGTATGTAAAAAAATAATAAACATAATAATATATTAAGAATAAATTAATTATTACACAGGGGTGTGCAGAAATATTGAAATATCAAAATATCGTATAGTTTAATGTGATGATGCAGTATCGTTATCGTGGGATGCTGTATCGATATATCACTAAGAGTATTTTTTGGTATATTTTACTAAATTATTTTGTTATAGCTACAGTTTTGTTGCTTGTTTACAGGAAGGAAACTCATTTATGCGACACATTTGACATTTTCACTATAAACTTTCAAATGAACTTTGCACATGAAGTGGTTTAACAAAGACTTTTAGTATCATAGTTGCAATTTAGCCTTTTTTTTTTTTTTTAACTGTATCCAATCGATTTGAAATATATCATATTGAATCATATCAAATCGTTAGGTCACTGTGTCGAGATATGTATCGTATCGTGGCCTACGTATCGAGGTATATATTGTATCGCCAACTTCTGAATGATACCCAACCCTATTAATATAGCAATGCCTTTGTGATTTTATTCGCCCCCTAAAAAACATTTTTGAATGCAAATTACTGGCAGCACCATATGCAATCTGTGGTAAACTTTTAAAATAAAATATATGATTAAAACGTATATAAATAATGGAAAAACTACATGATTATGAAATAAATCTTAACCAAATACAAATTCGTCAGTCATTCAAGTAATCTGTAAAACAGCAGCAAAAGCACGTGCGCTGCCGTGGACAGGTTGCCATTCATAATAAAACTTGCTGAGGTCATGTCAGCTTATCAAAACTTTTAGCGATAATGAAATCTTACCTTTCAGCCTTTGTATGCACTTTCTGACGATTCTTCGTCTTCTCGTGCAAAGCCTGCTGCAAAAAGCTGCACACGAAATGGAATAATCGCAAAGTGCCACCACCTTGCTCGCTGATGTGATGGACAAAAAAATAAGCGACCAATGAATCACCAGAAAACGACCCGGGACGGCAAAAATGTAAGTAAAAAGTACACCGATCGTCGACTTTTCCTTCTCATTTCTCGGAGACAAAGTTTAAGAAGCTTGTTTGGACAAAGACTTGAAGTTGGAGCTGACAGCTTTCAGCGCAGTCTCGGACCGTCTAAGCGTTTTCCAAAAACTCCCTGTACTCGCGCTCCGCTTGTGTAAAGTTAAACAAACTGTAAACAATTACACTTCCGCTTACAGTATAAAACGCAAAATGTGTCATTGCTTAGCTGAAGAAATAATATAAAAGATACTTCATCATATCGCATTAAGACAAGATAAAACTAAATAGTTAGAAGTATTGTTTACTCACTGCGCTTAATTTGGACAGTTTTAAAATGACATTGTAGGCTACCTGAGTGTTTTATTTTGAAGGAAAACTACACTTCCTGAATGCGTAATGTTTTACCTTGGCTGTAAAATTGTGTCCATTGGACCTACTGTAAAAAATTAGCAAAAGTCAAAATAAAAATGATAAAACAATTAAGAATTTATGTTGACTTGCTGCACACTCCAACTAATGAATTAATTTAATATATTTATTTTTTCACCATGTTGTTAGAGAAAAGTGCTATTTAAGTATTAGTTATAATAGGTCTGTTCTTGTACAGGTCAATAACTTGCACTAAGACATACAGTTCAATAGACTGCATTGCATTGAACTGCCTTTGATGTAGTCCACACAAAACCACAATGGTGTGTACTATTGACAAGTTAATATTTAACTCATTGTCATTGTACTACAAGTATTTACATGAAGATTTTACATGCACAGGGCTGGGGTTAACATCTTGAAGAATAGCCGTACGTGCCAGTAAAATGGAGAGGAGGGAGGCGTGTGGGGAAGGAAGTGTTTTGCACCTGGCTTGTCCCCGTGTTGTGTGGTAAGCCTGTCACACACAAACACACACACCCACACACACACACACGCACGCACGCACACGCGCACACACACACACACACACACACACACAGAGAGAGAAAAGAAAAATAAGGACGATATAATGCTACAGATATTGAAACACTTTTGGTGAGTTCTAGTATCTACAGTATGTTACAGAGAAGCTAATTATCTAATCATCTACTTCCCAAATGTTTTCATGTTAGGCCTCATTATACAAAAAAAAAAAAAAAAAAAAAAAAAAAGCCCAAGAAAAGAAGTGCATGTGATAATTATTGCCTGAAATATTGTTTTTTTTCTGTCATAACTGTAGGCTACAAGTGACAACTAGTAGAGGTGAAAGTATAGAAATAATACATTGAGAAATAGGAAATGTAGGGGCTTAGGTGACCACATCATGAAAATACAACTGTGAAACTCACATGTGGCTATTCAACTTCAGCTGATTCTAATCTATACAATACAATAGTAACATCCAGTACTAATACATCAACTATTAAGAGCTTGGAATAAGAGGGTGTAGTGAAGGAAAGCAGGCAATGTTTATCCAGTCACTGGAACAAAATGTAGTCTACTTTATACACCTGAACCAGACTATAGTATTATTAAGCTATTATATCATATCATAAAGCCATAGATCCCATTTATAGACTCTAAATGGAGGCTATTTTGTCTAATTTTATTCTTCTATGTCATGTTCCTAATACAAGCTGAAACAATCTTATTAGGAATAGGCTTAAAGGGCACATATTATGTTATTTTCTGGTATGGTATAATGTTGTTTCCTCATCAAAAACATACCCGGAGTTATGTTTTGTTTCATTCAAAACACAAACCCTGAATATTTACGCTGACATCTTCTCTCAGACAGAAAACACCCCATGTGATGTCTGTGGAAATACAGGAAGTGCTCCACTGTGTTTATAAAGTCCGTGCACCATTATCATTTGGATAATTTCAGCCCTGGAATTGCCGATCTCTACTGAAGTAAAAGGTAAAAGGTAGCTGTTAACTTGAAAACTACCACTACATGACATCACAAGGTAGAACAGATCATTTGGAGATGTAGACAGACTAAAAACAAACAAAAAAAATGTTCTGATAACATTTGCGAATGATATAAAACTCAGTTCCGGGTATGTTTTTGATGAGAAAACAACATTCTAACATGACTTAAAGCTCACATGAGTCAAGTCTGCGTAATATAGGACCTTTAAAACATGATCATATTTAGCTGAAACTAATACTGAAGTAAAAATTTAGACGTGACTATTTAATGGACTTTACCCAGACTTTTAAAAGGCTGCTATATTGTATCATCAGCATACATCAAAATCCAAATAAAAAAAATAAAAAAAGACAATTTGTTAGCAGCTGCTGGTTTTGTGGTCAGTTCATCATGCGCTTCTGACAACTATACACCTACATGCATCAATAAGGAAGTTTCAGTATTGTGATCATTCTTAAGCTAACATGCAGTCGCTGTCTGCCAAAACAGAAAGGTGCTCTAATTGCTAATCTGAAATATGATCCAACGGTTGAATTTATGACTGTTCTGTTAGCTATGTAAACAGTTACTTTTAGGGAAACTACGCTCTTCTTTCACCAAGGCTGGCTCAAGTAGATACAAAGAAATTATTGTTCACAAAACAGCAATCTGTCCATGTCAAGTTACAATGAACCAAAACCTTTTAAGAAAGACATAGGAACTAGACAGAAATTCCAAAGAGTCATGTTGATTGCCCATATTTTTTTGTAGTTTTCTTTATTTGATTAACAAAAACTGACTAACAATAACTTGACTTGGACCCCTGAAAGCTAAGAGTTATTTGAAGATATCATGATTTTTTTCTTTCAATTTACCTATGTAACCTTTTGAAAAAAATAAAAATAAAAAAAATAAACATTTATTTAAGGGGTTTGCAGGTGAGCTATGCGGCCTGATTATTCTTTGTGTGGAGGCTGCATAAGACCATACCATTTTTTTGACAATGTGAAACTAGATTTATTGTGGAATCTGTATTTGTGGAACCTGCATCTTCATCTGCACCTTCAATTAAAGGTTTTATAAGGTTTTTATATTACACAAAATGGATTCTTGCGAGTTTTACACCATGTTATAATGTCTCATCTCATCAAAAACATATCTAGAGTTGAGTTTTGTTTCATTCACACTAGAGATGCGCGGATGGGCTATTTTTTCATCCGCAACCGCGACACAAAACTCATCATCCGCCCGCTGTCCATTTTGCACCGAAGGTTTTCAAAACCGCACCCGCCCGCCATCCGCCGATTGATTTTAGATTTTAGAACAATCATACAGCAAACAAACTAAGGAGCCTCGATAAAAATGCAAACTATAGCTCATTCATTCCAAAATTCGCTCAGCGTGTATGTTCGCATTCTTAATTGTCAGAGTCGGCGTCAGAGCAAATCTACTGGAGGGGCGTGGGTCACCAGCAGGGGGGGCACTGCCATTTGAGAAATATTTTAACGCGGTGGAGTCATACACAGCAGACATGCTTTCAAACACGTTTTTCTTTAACAGTATTAGGCTAATTATGTGTTGTTATTATAATCATTATTATATTAAGATTATTATTATTATTAGCTGCAATAGTTGTTGAGGCTGTGTGGTAGACGATACGCACACAAGACAATAATAAAAGGTTGAGGTTTATTAAAAAAACAATAAGTCCTGCCACTGGTTGTAAACATTAAACAACAACCTCTCGTCAAAAACACCTCTGAACTAGAAATAGCCACGCATCAGACAGCACCAGGGCTGTAGTGAACGTGGTACGCGAGTCGCCGTCCAGTCCTGTCCTATAGAGACCTGAGACTTGAGGGACCGGGACTGGACCGGGACTAAACCAGGACCAGTGGCGGCTGATGGTATAATTTTTGGGAGGGGCACCAAGGGCAAAATTATAAATATATATTATGAATAATATATGTATTATATATATAGGCTGTAGTATTATAACAAATACCAGAAACATACATTTTGGTTAGTATTGGCTGAACAGTATCGATCAGAGCACAATGAACAGCCAAGCGCAAACTTTACGCAACAACACAACGTAACACGCCGCTCACACCCAGACACAACAACGTCAGTAAAACTACAATAAGAGACATGAACACAGATGCCGCTTCTACACACGACAGAACAACCAGAGCAGCTCCATCGCACCCACCAGCTCATTTACGCACTATTAACTATTAACACTATAACACTATTTACCTGTGAGGCTCCAAATTCAGATTTGCTGCAAACTAATGAAAACCAGCCTCTTACTTTCTCCAGAGACTGAAGCAGAATGTTTCCTCTGTCCACTGTCCCACTGGTTCTGTTTCCAAAAGTCTATTGTCCAATATGAAGAGATGAAACTGGTCCGTGACGCGAGGTCCGGCAGCCGAGTGCACAAAATGGTTGTAAAATGAGTCTTAATCCCACTTCCCACTTCAATCTGAAAGTTACGGTCAGTCCATATCAGCACCAGGACACCAGGTAGAATTATGCCTCTGCGCGCTACGCTCAGGTCAAACTTTTACACCCAGAAACGAGCGGGCAAAGGCGGATAGAGCAGCGAGCGACTGCCCTGGCCCCAGCGGCGACAGTCCCCGAGTCCGGGCGGCGACAGCCCCGGGTCCCGGCGGCGACAGCCCCGGGTCTGTCAGTGTCTTTGACTCTGTTCTCGCCATTTCCTGTGTGGAGCTTTAGGCTAAAGTAGCAGCTGCCGCTAATCGTGGATCTGCTACGAGTTGACGCAGCAGGTTGACGTGACGTGACGTGAGTGACAGGACAGTTGTCCAATCACACGACACTAAATAAACAGAGACTGTGATGTCATTGATGTCACAGTAAAGTTTGTGCCCGAAGTGAAATGCGCCAAGCAAAATCATTTTAAAATAGTAATAATAACGGCCTGTTGGGGGGTGGGGCACCAGTGGCCGCTAGGGGGGGCACGGCCCTCAAATGCCCCACCTTGCCGCCGACACAGTTAATTGTCCGTAACAACCCCAAACTTACCTGGTTTTCTTGCGCAGCTAATTAACTGACAACGTTTTCCGACTAGGCTATTTTTGAACCTTCTTGCCTTCGTGTTGGATGTTGTTACATTCTGAACATTCTGCCATTGCCCGATGTTATTTCAAAGACATAGCCTCACTCCATCGGTCTTTCTTTAAGTTTTAAAAACCCGAGTGGCAGTCTACGCTATAATGTCTGCGTGTTT